CAACGAATTAATGGAGAATCCTCGATTCCTATCTCTTTACTTAAATCACAATTCAAATCAATTGATTATAATCACTGTTCGAAACAAGTGATTATAATCCAGTGATTCGGTTCAGTGTTTTGAATCAAGGGATTTCAATTACGATTCAATTCAAGTTATTCAAATCTTAATTCGAATCAAATAATTTAAATTACTGATTCGAATAACCTCAAAGAATCAATGGTGAATCGTGTGCTTCGAATCGAACGATTCAAAACACCATTCAACTCAGATTCTAATTTTAGTTCACTGAACTGGCATTTTTTTCCCTTGATCGTCAAAAATAAAAATACCGTCACCGTCAATAGAAAAAGAAAAGATGTCAAAACGTTAGAATTTGTTCAAATCAATAAATACTACTAATATTTTTTTTTATTTTTGAAAGCAACAAACTGCATTACTTTTTTTATTTTTTTCATGCGAATTAATCAAATTCTTTGAATGGAAAATCAAAACAACCTTAAAAGATTAACCTCCCAAGGTGCATAATTAAGGTGAAGTTGTTTTGAGGTTGATGGAAATGTATTTCAGAGCAACCAGCTTAGGGAAGTTGTCTTTGAGGTGTACGGATTTTTTTTCCTACACTTCAAGCGAATGAGTATATTCGAGGTGTGAATAATTTCATCCGATCTAAATTAAAATGATTTCTGAGTTGTACAAGAGGTTGATTTTATGAGATGCAAAGGAGGTTGAAATTGAAGTTTATTAATGAGGTTATTTTTGGTGCAAAATATAACCTCATTTTCTGCCTCAGGTGTATTATTTTACATCTGTCAACTTCAAAACATCCTCAAAAACAACTTATTTTTTCGTTAGGGGTTGCATTGAGGATGTTTAACTTTAAATAATCGTACATTCAACTGGAAAGCCATATCACAGGGACAGACATGTCTCAATGGATATTTTGTTCCGTTTCAATGCTATATGGAAATATTATTGGTGGGACTTAAATGTCCCGTTGGTGAATACAGCGTTAAAGTAAGATAATACAATACCAAAAAACTAAAGATTCGGAAACAGATGGATCTGGGTTCGATTGCATATGAATTTGAAGCAGTTTTGAGCTTCCCCAGTTTTGAGCTACTGCAGTTTTGAGTCGTTAAATTAAATGATGAAAGAGTATAATAGAAAAACAAAACAAAACAGAGCTAGTGTTCGATATTTCTTATCTCGAACTTAGATTATGAATCGGAGTGGATTTAATACAGACGTAAAACACATTATGGAATTATTTAAAGGAAAATTTACTAACATTTTAAAGCTAATAAACATATGGCTAATAACATATAGCTAATAAACATATAATAAACATATAATAAACAAAAGTATATTTAATAAAAATAATTGGACTTACATTTGAAAAAACTGGTATAGCTCAAAATGTGTTTTTAAGAAAGGGGGCAAAGATTTTGGTTTCGGTTTTTCTGTAACTGCTGTTAAGCCTCATGTATTTTAAAAGAATTATCTAGTGAATCCAAACAAATTCGTAATGTATAAATGATTTTGCATGTGTTTTTAGCATAAGTTTCTTAACAGACTTCAAAGGTCCACAGTTATTTTTAGATCTTTTTTAGCGGACAAATTTCAATAAAATTACGAGTTAATAAAATTATTAGTTAATCTATTCGGCATTTTTTCAGAAAGCCCTGTTAGGTTTTCTAAAGCTGTTTCACTTCAAGCTAGTAGCCATTCTGCATTGCTAGTTGCTTTTCATTCATGTTATTGTATTACCAGCTTTTCGCATAATTTTTTTCACCTAAATTTTCCAAAGGTTTACCATTGGATTTAGGTCAAGGGAGAAAGCTGGCCAATTCATAACTTCTATTTTATTTCACTTGAGCTAGCCACTAGTGCTTGCATTAAAGCATATGGATGCGTTATCTTGTTGGAAAACAAGTTTAGATTTTCTATAACTTCTTAAAAATGGAGCATGACTGTCCTGTTGAACTATTTGATAGTCCTTGCTATTCATTTTATGGGAAGTAAAGGTTAAATTAATTTTAATTCGTTTACTGTACGTTCCTAAAGCATCATCCTTCCACCGGAAAATTTCCTTTTTGGAAAATATTTCTTTTTTTGCAAATTCAACTAGTATGAATATCTGTCTTAGTCATCTAAATTAAGCCTTGTTTCGTCATTTAAAATAAACTGTTATAAAATTCAGTGAAGCCTTCAGGAAAGACCACCTCTTTGTAGCGACTTCCTCTATTTGCGACCACTTTTGGGGGGTACGGAATTTTTCCCACTGACTTGGTGTTGAAGAAAACCTTTAGGAGAGACCACCAAATTCTCTCCCAGTGACCGGGCGAACCTCTGCATCAAATGCGTAAAGGGTCAAATAAGGTAACACGAAAAAATATCAAAATAAAAATTATTAGCAAAACAAATAAGTAGATTAAAATGTATTCTAAATATTTGTGAGCAGCTTTTATATAGAGAACTTTTTCTGACGATTTTTTAAAGACATAAATAACTTCATGTTGCAGTCAAAGTGTACTAAAGACGATGTTATTAATGATTTATTTTCAGAGTTGAAAGTTAAATTAAAAAAAAAAGGTTATTTAAAAAAACTAAGCATCTCAAATAAACAAACCTAGTTTCATTTTTTAAAGCTAACTAATTTAAAAATTAGTAATAAAATAAAATTAAATGCAATAATATATGATATAAAATTAAATGCAAATGTAAACGAAAAACATAATTGTTTTTTATTATTTAAAATAGTCTTAATTCGTAAATAAGTAATTAGTAAATAGTTTTAATTGGTAAATAGTCAACTAGCATAAATACTTTTAATTGGTACAATAATTGGTAAATATGTTTTTACTCATAATTATATCAGTAAAGATCAATTTTATTGACGCTAAATTTTATTCATCAATCCGGTTTTGATTACGCCAACACTAGTGGCATTCTCGCACCAAAAAAATGACACTAAGTAAAATTAAAATTGCTTACGAAAAGTCCTGTACCTTCGATAACAATTTGAAGTCAATGAATATAACCCCTAAGAACGACCAACGTCCATTAACGACCGTTCTGCGGAACAGAGAGTCGTCGCTTCCGAGAGGTTTCACTGTATATTATTTTGAGAATAATATTTTCATTGCTATAACAAATGATATATTGATACTTACAAGTGACCAATCTATGTTAATGTTTTTTGGACGAAAGTTTAATCTTGCAACTTATAATGCTTGCAGCTTATGATTGCAACTTAGGATGTGGTTTCTGACTCGGAACACTCTGTATTTTAGAAAATACTATTCTTCGATTTATTTCCCTAAGACGTATTAAACATCAAAGTGTAGTTCTGTTCGGACTTCATTAGCAGATATCGACTTATATATTGTTCCAATAGTTTTTCTTTCTTCCCTAAGAGAAAACTTGCCAGGCCATCCTGAACTTCTACCCATAATTGCACTGTTTGGTCAAAATATTTAGAACTGTATCAAAAGAGTGATTTATCTTTTTAGAAATGTAGTATACTTATATCCTTCCCTCATGTTCCTAAGTGCTGTTATTTGATGTTTCTCAATATCAGACAGCTAAGTTCTTCGAGGCATGTTGTAAAATTGAAATTTCAACTTTAAAAAAGGTTTGAATTTGGTTTGGATATTTAAATAAATGCGTGATATGCATATTTTTGCGACAGAGAGTTTTTCTAAATTTGTTTACACGTCTGTGAGTTTTTTATTCTGAACATAGCTCAAAAAAACGCATTAAGAACACGAGCATTATCAAAATGCGTATTTTAAAAAATGGACATAGCCTAAAATGCGTGTTCAAAAAAATGAACACAATTCAAAAAGCATATTAAAAAAAATGGACATAGTTCAAAATATGCGTTTTAGAAAATAGACACAGCTCAAAGTACATGTTGAAGAAAAATGAACACATCTCAAAATACGTATTTAGGAAAATGGACATGACTGAAAGTGGTTCTTTAAGAAAAGTAGTACGTAGGAGGCAACTGGCATAAATCACTAAGAACATAAAAAATTTTAAATTGGTCTGTTTTTAAAGTTTTCTTTCAAAAGTTTTTACAAGGTTGGCACGGATCCTATAAATTAATAATAGTGATAGTAAATTTACGTTGTAGGAATTTAGATTAAAAAAAACTATTTTATCGTTTAGAGTTTTGAATCAGAAGAGATTGCCTGAAATGTTACATATGATATACAACGTACCCCCTGACCCCGACCCGAATGTTATATATGATATACAACGACCAGCCACCCTGACCCAGAAGTCCTAGACTTTGCCCCGTAATGATAATGCTTAGTGTTTAAAAAAGTTTGTTAAATTTGGGTTGAACATTGAAAAGGTGTACTTTATTTTTCGCAGTGCCCATTTTCGTAATACGCATTTCGAACCATGTCCATTTTCTGAAATGCGCATTTTGAGCTATGTCCATTTGCTTAAATACGTTTTTAAAGCTATATCCATTTTTTAAAATACGCATTTTGAGCTATGTCCAGAATTAAAAGCTCTCCAACGAGTCAAAATATTAAAAAGAAAATAAAAAATCGCAGACTCAATAAATTTGTAGTCAGCCAATTTTAGGAAAGTATCATTATAAATTATACGGAACTTGCGTACGTTGATAAATAGGGATACAATTATTAATTTTGATGCAAAAAGCATTTTAATTCAACAAAAAAAAAATATTGGAGGGAAGCGATCACATTTAAGAGGTGAAAGGGCCATAAAATTCATGTTATTATTTGATATTATTATTTGATTTAGAGTTTAAATTTTTTAATTGCTTAAATATTTACTTTTAAAATACAGAATCAAAGTTTAGTTTTAAACTTCTAGTTTTTCTTATCTATCACGTTAAGATGTTCGACCTGTCAAGTATTTTTTACAATAACAACGTAAGATCGTTGTCCGTTCGAGCGTTTGCGGTTTGTGTTTCTAAGCCGGTTTCTTGTTAGTAAAAAATAGGAAAGGTGGGGGGAGTGGATACATAAAAGAAGACTTAGGATGATAGTCTACTCATTCTAACTTCATCTGTTAATAATATGGCTCATCTAATAGAGTTTACTATAGGCATCCTTCTTTTGATTATTACGGAAATTGCAGCACAAAGTGAGTATCACGTTTAAAATTACTCCAATATTACCATAAAGAGACAGCAAATAGTTTACTTATTTCGAGACGCGTTATTTTGTTTTGCATAATTTTATTATTAAATTAAAAAGCAGCAGAAAAATTAACTTTGTGATGTGATTTTTTAACATAATTTTCTTTAAAAAATAAGAATTTACTCCTGCCTGTAATTTATGGGTTTTTAATGAGAATGGGTTTTGTCTTCAAGTGTAATTAGGTATTTGATATAATTGGTTCGCTTAAAATTAGTTTTAAGGAAATAAATTTCTAAGAAATAGAAAAAAAAGTAATACTTCATAAATATTCTTCCTTTTTTTTAAAAAAAATTATTACTAACATGATCTTAATAGGTAACAATTTTCTTACTAATAAATAAAATTGAGTTTAAGTCATTAATTAGTTCAGTTATTACTAAATTAAAGATCAACAGAAAATGAACTTTGTGATGTCAACCTGTATTTTTAACATATTTTTCTAAAGAAAAAAAAGACTTTACATCGACCTATAATTTATGGGTTCGAACAGTGGTTTGATTGGTTCTTCAAATATAGTAAGGCCTTGATACAAATAATTTTTTGGAAATTAGTTTCAATGAAATAAATTTCTAACAAATAATAAAATTATTACTTTAAAAACATTTTTATTTAGAAAAAAGAAAAATAATTATTAGCATAATCTTAATAAGTAAACATTTTTTTACTTTAAAGCAAAATTCAGTTCACGGCATTAACGTTGTTACTCATTAAGTGTCTATTAAATTTCATTTCAAATTTTGTATGCTTTAAAATAAAATTCATTCAGCGCTATTACAATTATTTTATACTTTTCATACGACTTCTACACCATTTGAAGAAGCGAAGTTGGAATCGAAGTAAAAGGAACAAACATATATTGATGATATCAGTCAATTCAACGTACTTCGATTCTTAAAATAGCATAGAAAATGATATAAAATGTTGCTCTTTCGAGAAAAATACGTTAAGACTTTATAAGACAGTTGGAAAGTTTTGTCACACAAATAAAGTTTATAACTTGTTAAATATTAGAACTAATGACTAATATAAATTATTCAACCTGTCAAATATTTTATACATTATTCCTAACAGTGATCATAAGCTTTAAAAATTGAGGAATGATTTGTGCAAAACAAATCTTCGCGATATTTTTAAATTTTCAGTATGACAAGTAAAGTTTATTTCCAAATTTGCTTTTGTCTGTATTTTCTAAATGAAATTTTGTAAAATAATGATTGGAAATTTTGTTTGTGTACTTTAAACTATAACTGAATTTAAGAAAACAGCCCTTATTGTTAAATCCTTAGTATATGCACTTACATCGATTGTGCTATACATTAATGCAATTAATATAGTAATATTTTTCAATATGATCGAAGGAACATATTTTAAAATATATTTGGAACACTGAATTGAAATTAATATAGTTTTTCCTTTCTTCCCCTGAAACTAACGTTGTCATCATAATTTAAGTAGCATGACAACTATATGACGGTAAATCAAATAGTTAAGCTGGTCTCCGTGTTTCTGCAAGAATAAATTTAGACTGACTATTTCTGACGACATTACGTGTAAATTTGAAGTAATTTAGAAATGATTGCTCAATTTAGACGAATGTTAAGGAGAAAAAAAAAGTACATGCATGAGCACATAGTTCTGCAAAATCACAATTTCCCAAATCACAATTGAGAAACAACGAGCTATAAGTCCCTTATTTGGGCGACATGGTTGTAAACCGACAAAATATTATCGCTGATTGTCAAAGCAGTATAGACTTTGGTTCAATGGAAGGAATTTAAATGGTTGGAATGGATTGACTAACTTTGGATATAGACTTTGATTGACTTCAATAATATATTTGCAACTGAGAGTTCTTAGGTAATGGCCATTATGTTAAGATGTGAAGGTAGAAATATAAGATGTGAAGAAGAAATATTTACACTTTAAATGGGTCACCGATTTATATTTTTACCTTCACATATTAAACATAAAATTACTTTTATGCATTGTCATTGACTGTCAAAGTAGCATTAACTATGTTTCAATGAAAGAATGTGATAAAATTTGGTAAATGTGGTAAAATGTGGGTAATTTCAACATGATATCTTAGAAAACGGCATAAAAAGCATTTACTTTTCAGTTTTGTATTTTTTACTAAATGTGTAGTAATAAAAATTATATTTTTGAAAACCTTAAACCCGGTAAACCGTTACCATATGAACAGAAAAAATTACCAAATGATTGTTTTAAATACCATAGATTTTGGTTTTATTAGCGCGAATTATATTTATCTATCTATCTATCTATCTATCTATCTATCTATCTATCTATATATATATATATTTAAATTTTTTTACTGGAAATATCATTACCATACAATATGGTAATTTTACCAGAATTTTTTTCTTCGTGTACCTCAATATTTTATGCACAGAATTGCCGCCTCTTCATTTTGATTTAACTTCTAGATAAATGCTGCAGATTACTTTTGCTTTTTTTCCTTTTCTTATAAAGAAAAGCCTCTCTTTTAGGCTGCGGAGTCACTAGATATGGAAATTCTACAGACAGCATAAGGATTGTTGGTGGACGGTTGGCTTCTAGAGGAGAGTTTCCATGGCAAGTAAGTTTTTTTGTTGTTGATTTGTACATCAAAAATTAAAATAGCCATTAACATTTCTATAATCGTCTTATTGCCGTAAAATTTATTTCTTGGAAATCTGTACTTACATTCTGATGTTGAAATATTTATTTTACAAAAGTAAAATAAAGAAAAGTTGAAAGTAATCGATTTTCTACTATCATTAAATGTTCTAATATCGGTAAAATGAACATATTTTTAAATTTGTTAAGTTGAAAGTTAGTCTAGAGCCGGGATAGCCTGGTTTGAAAATCGCTGGACTCACGATCGTGAGAGCGGGAGTTCGAGTCCAGCCAATCGAGTCGAGCCAATCGACTCCCTGTGAAGTAAATGGTGACGGGTATACGTTAAATCCGTCTGGTCACAAAGTCCACCATGTTCCCATAGCAAATTTTACCTCTGGGGGTACTGAATTGGAGATTAATCGTTTTCTGGTTCAGGTCGAAATAACGATGTGTAGAGGAATGAATGGATGTATAAATAGGTCCGCCCTATAAACGGGTGTGACATATGGGTGTGACAGAAGTCTATCTTGGTCACAGGTGGCGCCACTGGTACACAAGAACAGTCGAACCTCTTGTCTTAATGGTGTACGACAACAACAGCAATAAAATTAGTTTATTTAGCTTTTATTATTTGTTGATAGAGTCTTAGGAAAAATACTGAGAATAAGGTTTTCTTGGCGTAAGTCTTATAAAGACTCATAAGATCACGGAAATTGCTTAAACTAAATTTAAAGGTTGATAAATAAGGAAAGAAGTTTGAGTTGAATACATTTTAAATTTTTTTTTTTGTAAAAGAAATTTACTGTTTTCTGTCATTACGCTAAGAAAACTCCTTAAAAAAAACAACAAACACAAATATTTGCAATTACGGACTGAAAAATTTCTTAAATTAAGATAGTTCCATAGGCTTTGTAGCTTTCAGAATCGACACTGCAGTGAGAATTTTAATATCCAGTTTTCAATAAATGCCGTTTTCTCATAACAATTTTGTTTTATTTTCACAGACTTGATCAATTATACAACTCTCTATCGATGTATTTAAAAATTTTACTTCACAAGCAAATGAAAAAAAGTGTAGCTTCCGTTGCACGTAAGATATTTTTAAAAAAAGCGTTCTTATAGCTATTGATCGATTTCATGATAATTATAGATTTTATCACTTCGAGTGTGTCATTATATTTATCAAAAAATTTTACGAAGACATCAGTTGAAACTTAAATTGAAACTTTACATATATATATATATATATATATATATATAT